GCAGCAGTTTGTTCATGAAGAACAGACAGAAACTCCAGAGTTTAGATGGATCATAGGGACAGTCCAGATTCAAAACTCTCTAGTCTGTCCTGAGGTCTCAGAAAACCTACACAGGGAGGCGTCCTGATCAGATGGACCACCTCAGCCCACTCCTTTTAGATGCAGAGGAACCTCTTTACTCTGAGCTCCTCAGCGGCTCGTTGCTTCTACTGGACCACACCATCTAATTTTATTTTCTTCTGCCTCTGCAGGTGTTTGTGAATTTTGCCAAGCAGCAATCGAGAGATGACGCTGCCATCGTGCTGCATCCAAAAGCTGCAGGAGCGCAGCGCTACATCGACACCAGTCCCATCAGGGAGCAGAGGAAGTGATCTTCAAAACCAAACATTGGTTTTCATCTCACCTGAACGTCAGAGGATTATAATGTTATATGTGACTGATTTGACTTGTTGCACGTGCTTTAGAGTAAGTTGGCTTTAAAGCTGAGAAGTGTGGAGCATTTGTGTGCCTGCTGTCTTCTCCACGTTCTGCTCACCTTATAGGCCTTGTAAGACTCAAAAACTGTTACTTTGATGTGAGACAGCTTAGAGTTTTGTATTTTTTGCTTCAGATGCCAAGCAAGAATTTATCTAACGGCCTTTTTTTTCATCAAAAAAGCATCAGAGAGAAGTAGTTACTGCACTTTATTTGATGATTGTTTTAGTGAAATACTGCTGCTGTCCAACTCGTCTGAGTTCTGGAGGAAAGTTTCATGTTTTGTTCTTTTTGCACTTTAATTTACTCGTGTGCAAACTGTAATTATTTGCCTGTATTTCTCTACCTCTCAGTGATGTGGAGCTTGTTGGAGTTTTTAATATTTCTTCACGTTTACTTGTTCTTTGTGCTTCTTTTAGTTGAATAATTTCTAGGACAAAGCAGAATAATGTTACGTTGCAGGTGAACGTATAAATAAATGAAAGTGACTCAGATATAAAGAATTAGCAGTTTGTCACATGAAGATGTTTTAATGATGAGAGCAGCAGACTTTAGTTTTATTGGTTCAAAGTAAATACAACACAGAAGCAGTCATCAACATATCACTGATAATCTGTAAATATAAAAAACTAAAGGTTCATCATCATCATCATCATCATCAT